TAGCTGGTATAGTCCAAGTTGTGTTTTGTGTTCACAGACAGCTCCTATGACTTCCTGTCTTTAGTGGTACTTCTTTTGACCCACCATTCACTTTGGGTCTTGTGAGCAATCTGTTAACTGTTTTTGGTTACTGCATACTAAATGTATACATTTAGCAATAACAAGGGCCAATAAGTCTATAGGAAAAAAACTTAGATCATTTTTGCTTTCTTGGTGAAAACTCCACATAGAACTAAAACTCTAAATGTTGTATAAGCCTTTTTTTTTTTTTCAAACTACTTAAAATTTTAAAGCTCAACAACTTAGCTAATTGTATCACCACCAAATATGCTATATATATACTGCTTGCTATTAGTACTTTAATTTTGTCAGTTTTATAAGTCATTAGGACTGTTAGAAACAATTACCTTAGGGCGCCTGGGTGGCCTCAGGTCACTGTCCCAGGTTCCTGGGATAGAGTCCTGTGTCACTGAACTCGCTTCTCCCTCTCCCTGTACGACTCCCCTCCGCCCCCCTCATGCTCTCTCTCTAATAAATAAATAAAAACCCAATTACCTCAAAATTCTAAATGTTTTCAAAAGAAATATTGATAAATTCATGAGCAAGTTACCAGTTTTTGTTACCTGTAGTAATGATTAAGACTTTGTTTTAAATGCTAACAACTCCTTACCTCAATGGGGGGGGGCCAGGGGTGTGATGAAGGAAATTAAGTTAAGACATTTACATAATCGTAATAGACTCTAATGTATATTTAGCTTCCATTTCCTACTTTCATAGCCTACTGCTTCCATATCCTACTCCACCCTTGCCTGTTTAAAATTATTTTTTATATTTCGGCTGTTGATTTTAATAGTAATTTTAAACATTTAGAAGAAAGTAATTTTGAAAACACATATTCCGTTATGTAGAAACACCATCTTTTATTTATACATTCACCCATTTATGGACATTTGGGTTGTGGGTTGTTTCCAGTTTTGAGTATTTGTGAATAGATTTTTTTTTAAGATTATTTATTTATTAGCGAGAAGAGAGCACAAGTGGGGGTGGGTTGGGAGGAGCAGAGGGAGAGGAAGATCCAGACTCACCACTGAGTAGGGAGCCTCATCAGCGGGTCTCCATCCCAGGACTCCAGGATAGTGACCTGAGCCAAAGGCAGACGCTTAACCAACTCAGCCACCCAGGTGCCTGATTTTATTTTTTTTATTTTTTATTTTTTTGAGAGAGCATGCAGAGCCCTACATGGAGCTCGATCCCACGACCCTGAGATCATGACCTGAGCTGAAATCAAGAGTTGGACACTCAACTGACTGAGCCACCCAGTTGTCCCAGTGAATAGATTTTTGTGTGGACATAGGTTTGCATTTCTCTGGGGTAGATACCTGGGAGTAAGATTGTTAGGTGGTGCGTGCTTAACTTTATAAGAAATTGCCAAACTGTTTTCTAAACTGGTTGGTACCATTTTGGGTTGCCACAGCCATGTATTAGAGTTCCAGTTCTGCATCCTCAGCAGTGTTTTTTAGCCATTCTGTTAGGTATGTAGTAGTGTTTCATGATTTCAATATTCATTTCCCTAATGATTTATGATGTTGCATATCCTTTTGTATATTTATGTTGTCTTCTGTATATCCTGTCCACTGAAGTGTCCAAGTCTTTTGCTTACTATTTTCTTACTATTGACTTTTGAGTGTATAGATACAAGTCCTTTGTCAGATATGTGATTTGCTAATATTTTCTCTAATTTGTAGCTTGTCTTTTCATTCTCTTAACAGTGTCTTTAACAGAGCAAAAGGTTTTAATTTCAGTGAAGTCCAGTTTTTAATGGATCATGGTTTAATATGTCTAAGAATTTTCTGCCTAATCCCAGGTCATGAAGATTTTCTTGTTTCTTTTTAATTTTTTTAAGTTTCATGTTTTACATTTAGAGCTATGATCCATTTTGATGTAGATTTTTAATAGGTATGAGGTTTAGTTTGGTGTTCATGTTTTTGCTCATGGATATCTAATTGAATATCATTTGTTGAAAAGATATCCTTTCTCCATTGAATTGCCTTTGCACCTTTATCAAAAATCATTTGGCTATATATATGAGTATGTTTTTGGACTCTTAGTTCAGATCCAGTGATAAGTCTTGAAATCAGGACATCAGGTAGCATAATTTTCCAATTTTGTTCTTTTTCAAAATTGTTTTAGCTATTCTCGTTCATTTGTCTTTACTACTTTGCATTTACTATTAAGGATGTAAAATAACATATTTCATTCTCTCATTTCCTAACCAGAATCTATTTTTGATGCTATGTGTATGTGTTTGTGGTTATTTTGGTTAACACAGTGACTTTTTTATCTTGCTTACATTTGGGGAGAGGGGGTCTTAATTAATACATGGCCAGAATAATCCGTGTCCATTACATTCTTTATACATAGAAAAGTAATAACAGAAAATCTATCAATGTTAGAATCAGCTTGTTGATGTGTATCAGAAAAATTCTGCTTTGATTTTGATTGGGCCTCCCTTGAATCTATAGAATAGTTTGGGAATAATTGTCATCTTCACATTATTGAGTCTTCCATTCTATGAATATAATATATCTCTCCATTTATTTAGCTCTTCTTTGATTTCTTTCGTCAGTGTTTTGTGTAGTTTTCAGCACACTAGTCCTGTACCTGTTTTGTTAGATTTATACATAAATTATTATTTTTTAGATTCCTTGGGATTTTTCATTGTAAACAATCATGTTGTCTGCAGATAGAAAGTTCTCTTTTATTTATGAAATCTCTTTCTTACTGCACTAAGACAATATGATGTTGAATAGTAGTGGAGGGAACAAACATTCTTGTCTCATTTCTCATTTTAGGGGGAAAGCATTCAGTCTTTGGCCATTAAGGATGATGTTAGCTTGTAGGCTTTTTTTTTTTTTTTTTTTGCAGATACCTTTTATCAGATGAAGGACATTTTCTTCTTAATTTGCTGAGTTTTTGGTCATGATTGGTTGTTAAATGTTATCAAAAATTTTTCTGCATCTATTGAAATGATCTATGGTTTTTCATCTTTAATAGGTTGATATTGTGAATTGCTGTCATTGGTTTTCAGTATTGAAACAGCTCTACATTTCCAGGATAAACTACGCTTGGTCATGATGTGTTATCCTTTCTATATAGTCCTAGATTCAATTTTCTGTTATTTTATTGAGGATTAAGTCTTTGCTATAGGACAACACCGTTGTTTTAAAATGAATTGGACAGTGTTCTCCTCGGTTTTCCGGAATAATTTGTGTAGAATTGGTATTATTTCTTCCTTAAATGTTTGGTGTAAGAAAACCTGAAATTTTATTTGTTGGAAGGCTTTTAACAACAAATTCAGTTTATTTAATAGATCTAGGAATATGCAGGTTATTTCCTCTTGAGTGAACTTTAGTTTTTATGTCTTTCAAGGAATTTTCTATTTAATTGTTGCTGTTGACATTTTAAACACCAAAAAAAAGTTTATATCCAGATAGTTGTTTGGTGGCTACACATTCATCCTGGGAGGACTGTACCCATTCAACCAAAAAATCTGAGAAGCAGCATAGTATAGTGAGTAAAAGTGTGGATTCAGGAATCAGACCGAGTTACTTAACTTCTTCTGCTTCAGTTACCTCATCAAAAAAATGCAGATATAATAGGAACTACCTCATAAGGTTGTTGTGAAGAATAAATGAAATAATTCATGTAGAGTGCTTAGTAAGTACTAATTTAAATAATCCCATTAAAAAAAAATCATTTTCATCATTGTTATCTCTCAGTGGTATCCCATAACAGTATAGATTTTACTTCGAACTTTTTAGTGTTCCAGCTACAAAGTCTTTTCTTTTTTGTTTTAAATTGACATTTTCTACCTTTTTAAGGCCTTGTCACATATGTGGCCTCTAACTAGGAACATCTTCTTTCTAGCCATAGATAACCTCTTTTTCATCTGTCTCCTGTGAAGATCATATGTGTACTTAGATGCGTGCACCTATCTATACACATCTATACACAAACATGTATTACTGTTTCCTTTTCTTTCTGTTATTTTTAGTTTCCACATCAGAATAATGACAGTGCTAATAAAGTGGGAAATATGAAAATAATTGTTTTTGCCAAGGGTAGTCCCTTGGCAATATTGAATTCAGTAAATACATGAATGTGCATTAAAAAAATCACCGGATATCTTGTCTAAATAGTGTTTCCTGGGCCTCATTTCCAGAGTCTCATCCAGTCAGGGTGGGGCCCACGACTGAGTTTCTGACAAGATTGCTTGTGCTGCTGCTTGTTGGGGGAATACCCTTTTGGGGAAGTCTGCCACAACTTAGTTAGAAGTTTATTGGAAAACTGTTATAAATAGTCAGGACTTCTTCATTAAACTAGAGTATTGGGCATGCCATTTAAGCTCTCTTATTTTCATTAGTGATTGATCTCTTTATCAGACACAACCTTTATTCTCTTAAAATATGCCTGTCAGTATGCTTGTTGATATTTTCTCTCTCATGTATCTTTGAACTAAAATTTCCTAAGGTCCACTCAGGTCTCATGTTAAAAACATTTTGAATTTAGACCTTTCTTCCCCTTCTTTTATACATTTTTCACTAATTTGTGATTTTAAAGAAACATATAGTATATCTATTTTCTTTATTATACCTAAATACATCTTATTTCTTCACCACATACAGATTTTCTTGATTGATACTTTTTTCCATTTTAGGTTAAAAGAAGAATTTATAAGAAAATGTTTATATGTAGGTAGCTTTGAATCCTTAAATGTGTTAAATATGAATTTTATCTGCATTCAGCCTATACATTGTGATTATAATAAATGATAGAAACGGTAATAAACTTAAGGTGTTTGAAGAAGTGTCACTGTTTTTGAAAAAAATCTTTAAGCCATTTTCAGTAGAACTTTGAAGTAGTATAATTTTGAATGTATTTTTGGTTATTTTAGCAGAGGCCTGTGCCATGGAACATTTATATCTTCATTTCTATTTTAGGTGCGTATAGCAGCAAAATTCATTATTCATGCCCCTCCTGGAGAATTTAATGAGGTGTTTAATGGTGAGTGTTTAATTCATAGCACTAAGGCTTCATATATCAAGCATCCTTTTTTTAAAAGAATAAATTATATAACCAAAAGAACTAAGCCAGAGGGAGGGGGGAGTATGGAGAAAAATCTGTACTTTCTGAATTACAGTGAAAATTTTTGTCACTATGGATTTCATAATGGCTAGAATATATTTATGATATATATGATAATCATGTTTCAGGAAGTTAACCACCTTAAAAGAGTATTAAAAGACAGAATTTTAATTTTAGCTATTTTTTGGAATTGTGAAATGCATTTTTATATTCCTTTTAAAGAAAAACCTAGAATAATACGAACAACCAAAAAAGGGGGGGGGGCATTGTTTCACCATGTTCAGAAGATGAGACCGCATGTAAAAACTAAAATTCTTACAAATTAGTTCACAGTGTACCTTTCTTTAAACCTCAGGGGCAAACATTTTTATAATTATCTACCATAGATTAGAAATTTAAACTTTTATACAGTCTCCTGGTTGCTATAAAAACTAACAATAGCTCCTCTTTAACAGTGAGAATGACGTGGTTGAAACAGTCACCAAGAAAATGGCCTGTAGTGATCTTTTTACAAAACTTTTCTTAAGCAGTTTTAAGAATAAATTACCATAGGTACTGTAAATGTGTCATTTCTACTTATATATATTTGGCCTTCACTGTCTAAAATTAAAACTAATTTACACAGGACTCTTCAATTTTATTTTTAAAACATTCTGTTCCAGAGTAAACTATTTAAACATGCTTTGAAAGAAGTTTAATCTCTCATTTTCATTCATAGTAGAAGATATAATGGAATCTCACCTCAAAAAAGATCAGGTTTAAAGTCAAAAAATGAAGTAAAAATTTTGTAAAGTTAAAATTACCCTTGAAAACTCCTTAAATCATCCACAAACTACAATACATGATTTATTGCATACAGTTACATATGATAATTTTTATGCATAGAGAAAGAATGGGATCTACACTGTATTCTGCCTTTTAAGATAATTGTAAAATCTAAAGTAATGAATTGGGAAGTTGGGAGAGAATTCACAAATATTTCTGCTTCCTGTATGGTTAACTTCAGCCTCTTTGTTCCTTAGGTTCAAAAGTTGGCATGTAACTTGAATTGATAATGGTGAAACTGCAGTAAAGTTAGTGGCCCCCAAACTCTTGTGTAATTTATAGAACCAAGAATAAGTCGTAATTCTAGACGTTTTTCACTGAATGTCCTTACCTTGAATTAAATGCCCTACAAATTTGTTAATCAGAAAGACCCTAAAAGAATGTATGAGTCCTAGAAATTGCTTTTCTAAATCTCACTGGAAATTGATGTCGGTAAGTTCTGTGTTTGAATGAAATACTTCTAACATCTTTCAGTTTAGAGAGATATAAAAGATATATAACATTACATAAATATGATAATACTATGCATACTGGGTTTTCCCCTTCCTGTTTATCATGTTATGGATGTATTTCATGTTGATAAATACATATCTACATTTTTTTCACATCTACATTGTTTTTAATGGCTGCTCAATTTTACAGTTTATAAGAACTGTATATAGTCTGTTTATATTGTATTTAACCAGTTCTTAATGGAAGATGCTTAGGTTATTTGTGTTATTTTCATTTAATGAAAAGATTAGGATACATTGTAGTATGTACTTTATGATAGCAACTGTATAAAATAGCCAAGTGTGTAGGAAAAATAAAGAAAATATACCAAGATTAGAATACAATTTTGTTTGGTGAAATTACAAGATTTTTTTTCCTTATTGTTTCACAGAATGCTTAGATTTTCCAACAAAAGTATTTTTTTAAGTTATGTTTTAATGATGAGTAGGCAAATGTCTACATATTGGGTCTAAAATTAGAACAGAATTAAGAATCAATAACCAAAGTGAGATTGCTAAATCAAATAAAGCAGTTATCCATATTGAATTAAATGCATTCATCTGTTGTTTGAACATGAGCTGAGGACAGAAATGTCTACATCTATGCTCTGTTCACAAGTGGTTTCTTGCTTAATCCCTTTTTGTATGAAGCAAATTCGTTTGAAACTCATGTTAGTGTTGTCAAACTAGGAGGCAGACATCTTTTGCAGCTCTCATCAGACGATCTTTTTGATGGAGCTTGTCTCCATTTTAGTTCCTTGGAAATACAGTCTGCCTACATTGGCTATTAATTAATAAGGTATAAAATAACATGTACAGGTTTCCCCTGCTGTCCGAAAATAGAGCATTCTATGAAATCTTTCTTAAGTTGAAATGGCATAAAGTGGAGAAATAAGTACCATTTGGTAAAAGTGAAAAATCTCCTTGGATTCCATTCAGTTAGCAAAAACAGGTAAAAGCCAAGTAGCATAAAGTCAAGTTTCAGATAGCTGGGGAAATTTATATTTCTATTTAATTCCCTCTTCTGTTCCTAACCAATATCTTTTAGAAAATAATACCATGGGGTGTTTTTGTGGTTATTTTTGTCATCAGAGTAAAATTTTGATCTTGCTTACATGTTAGGGGGTGGGGAAGAGTGGGGAATATTAATACATGACCAAAGTAATCTGCATTCGCTACATAGAAATTTCAAACATATAAAAATAATAATATAGAAAACATAATACTTGTTTTGCAGATGTTCGGTTACTGCTTAATAATGATAATCTTCTCAGGGAAGGAGCAGCTCAGTAAGTATTATATATTATATTAACATAGCTAGTGATATGAGAAAAAATGTTTTAAAGGTGGTTTTTAAGCACTAATCTCTGAAATAGATATTTGCACATCAAGTTTAAATATATATATGTTACATGTATGTACTTAGCTAGAAGAGAAATATTTTTGATGACGTTTAAATATATATATGTATTATATGTATGTACCTAGCTAAAAGAGAAATTTTTGATCACAGAGGGACATAGGGACACAATTATGGCATGAAATTCTCTATTCATTGAGTATTTGGCTTATATACTCAATACTACATTTTGGCATTTGCAAGGTTGGATAAAATTATTTGGAAATTTTGATTTTTGAAATTGTGATTGCTTTTTTATGCAGGTTTTACTTTTTGTTAAGTGTTTGACCCTAACAGATTTTCGAGGATTAGGAGTTTTATTCTTTCATAAATACCTAATATAGTACCTGATTCAAATAACTAGGCAGTTCTAAATCCTAGTATATCATCTTTGGACCAGTGACCGTAATCATGACTTGCTACAACTGTCTTAGGATTTCAGAGAAATAATTGATTTTCTTCTCTATTCCCACCTCCAAAAGTAAGGTGGAGACTCATACAGTAGGCTAACCAATTCCATTACTCATTGGAAAATGACAAAATTAAACAGATTTTTAGGTGCCTTGCAAAGAGTGTTTAGTATCCATCCAAACACCTTTTCTCACACTAATACTGTACCCAATATGTGAAATCCTGAACAATGGGGGAAATTTCATCTTACTCTTTTTGTAATGTTTCAAGGCTTTATCAGATCTGTCCTTTACAGTTAACCCTAATGAAGGTAGAGGTTCAACAGACTTTTAGGCATATCTGATTTTGCTTCTGATTTAAATTCCTGTTATATTTTAGTAGCAACTGTTCATTGTTTTTAATCCCAGTATGATTAACATACAGTGTTATATTAGTTTCAGTTGTACAATATAGTGATTCAGCAATTCTGTACATCAGTCAGTACTCATCACAATAAGTGTATTCTTGGGGCGCCTGGGTGGCTCAGTCGTTAAGCGTCTGCCTTCGGCTCAGATCATTATCCTGGGGTCCTGGGATCGAGCCCCGCATCGGGCTCCCTGCTCTGCATGAAGCCTGCTTCTCCCTCTTCTATTCCCCCGCTTGTGTTCCTTCTCTCGCTGTGTCTCTCTCTGTCAAATAAATAAATAAAATCTTAAAAAAAAAAAAAAAAGTGTATTCTTAATCCTCTTCACCTCTTTCACCCTATTTATTACTTTTATTGTGAGAAAATGTACATAATATAAAATTTACCATTTTAATTATTTTTAAGCATACAGGTCTTTGGCATTAAGTGCATTCACATTGTGTAACCATCACCACTATCTATCTCCAGAACTGTTTTTTTTCCCCAAACTAAAACTCCATACACTTTAAACAATAATTTCTCATTCTTCTCTCCCCTCTGCCTCTGTCGACTACCATTCTATTTTCTGTCTTTGTGAATTTGACTTCACTACGTGTCTCATAGAAGTGGAATCATACATAATTTGTCATTTTGTGGCTGGTTTATTCTACTAAGCATAATGTCTTCAGGGTGATCCATGTTGTAGTACATGTCAGAATTTCTTTTTTAATACTGAGTATTTATATACCACAGTTTGCTTATTCATCTGTCAGTGGACATATGGGTTGCTTCCACTCCTGTTGATTATTAAAGTGCTTTATAGAAATCAATTTACTCTATATTTTTGACTTCAGTGATTAGCTTCTGAGTGAATGGCTACTTATTCCTAAGTTCTTTAAACCTTATTTAAATTATTTGTGTATTCAAGTAAAATTAATTTTCTTTATAATAGCATATGGCATGTTGACAAAAATCTTATGGAAGTAAAGAAGATGTACAGCATTTACAACTTGTAACAACAGTACTTTCAAAGTACTTTTCCTCTCAGTTCTCTGTGGTAAATAAATGTGTGGGTTGTTTCAGATAGGTGCAAGAATTAGTGGGGGTTTTTTTTTTTGTTATCAGTTAAGAAAATAAGAAGCTTGATTTATTGAAAGAACAAGAGTTTTTCCTCAGCAGAATAAAGTTTAATGAAGGTCAAAGAAATATTCATAATTACGTAAGTGGTATGAAATAGCCGTACATTTGACTCAAACGTGATTAAAGTATTGAAATTTTATTTGTCCAAAGAAGTACTTATCTGATGATGGTTTTTACATTTAAATTAAATAAATTGGATTTGTTCTATAAAGAAATTAGAATGTGATCTACATTTCTCTTTTATTATGAAACATGGGGACAGTTGTGGTCCACATTTCAAGAGATATATACATTGAAATGCTCAATACTATGATATTCTAAGGAAATGAGTCTGAAGAAATCCGTAACTAATGATAAAATAAGATGCTTATTGTATGATACCAAGAAAAAAACATCAAAACCTCAAGTAGAAAGTTCAGATTGTCTTGCATGTAGTTATACTATCAGTAAGTGATTGCTAACTAGATGAACACTTAGAGAAAATATTGTTTCTTTTTGTTGACTTCAGTAGTAGTCTTCATTCCAAATTGCTCAAAACTATTCATTTGAATTCATTTTGTAAACATTTGAGGGTTATCTGTGAAATAAGAAATATACCTTAAATCATTGATTGACTTTAGAACTATGTAACTCTGGTTCACAGTGTCCTCTCCATGAAATAATTTTCAAGCAAAAATAGTATTATCCTCATTGTTCACTAGACTTGGTTCTGAATTACTTTTAAAATATCTTCAAACCTGGTTCGTCCTCCAAAGAAGATTCATCACCTATCATCGAGGCTGTCCAAAACTATGTAACAGAAGCTTGCAAAGCATTGTAAAAAAACATTTAGAATGTGTCCTAGTGGCAGTTTCACCAAAGGAAGTGCATAGCTGTAGTCGCATTTCTTCTTCAATTGTGATCTTTGATACTGAATTTCTTTTGTACAAGTACTTCTCTTTCTTACATATATGTACTCCTTTCTTCCTTTCTTTCCCCTTTTCCCTTTGCTTTAACTCTCTTAGTCTTATTTTTCCCCTCTTTTATCTTTCTGTAAGGGGAAAAACATAGCTATTTTTCATAAGAGTGGTTTTAATGGGATATTTTTCCTAAGGGCACAAATTCAGTATGTTTCATAGTATGTAAAAGTAGACATACTGAAGCGTCAGTACTGTCAAGTCTAACTTTTAAATACCCAGAAAGAGCCTTTTATTCAGCTGAACATATGAATGCCAGACTTCACTATGATGATGACATAAATTATTAGCCTCTTAGGGATTTTCTAATGGGAAGTCAGATATGTTTAGTATTGGGCCAAATTAAATAAAATATCATAATAGAGGCATATCAAAGGCCTTTGGAGCCCAAAGGGAGAAATTTTTAATTTCTCTTTAGAAGTGGTTTTGAGCTGAATTTAAATGATGAACAGGGTTTGAAAAGTAAGTAGGGAAATAATGTGGCTAAACTGAAGGAGACACCTGGTGAAAAGTATAGTATGTGACTGGTGCATGACTAATAGTAATGGGTATAAAAATCTAAATATAGGAACAGGTATTTAGAAATGGATGATTTTGCTATAGAACTCTAAGAAGGCAGAGAAGCCACTGTTCTCACTGTGTCTGGGTGGAGGAGTGGGTGAGTAGATGATGAGTAGGTAGATGGAGTAAGTTTCTGAACTGGAAGGGACTTCGGAAGTCAGCTAGTCCAAACCCGTCTTTTTATAGATAAGGTAAGTGGGCCCCATGCTAGCTAATAATGGGGTTTGGACAGAACCTAGGTATTCTATATTCTGACTCCTAGGTTAGTATCTACCACTATACCGTGTAACTGTCACCTATTTAACTTGCTTTGAGCATTTAAGATAAAATTTTACCTATTTTCATACTCAGTTGTCTCCTTTTCAGATTTCCTATTCTTCCCTCACTCCCAAGTAGATGGATGGATCGGGTTTGATATTCTGGGCAGTAAAAGGCCTAGGACCAAGTTACTGTCTACATTTATTATTTACATATGTCTTTCACTGGAAAATGAATCCTACTTTTTTTTTTTTTTTAAGATTTTATTTATTAATTTGAGAGAACAAGACAGAGCCAAGAGAGCACAAATGGTGGGGAGGGGTGGTAGAGGGAGAAACAGATTCCCCGCTGAGTAGGGAGCCCAATGTTGAGCTTGATCCCAGGACCCTGAGATCATGACCTGAGCCGAAGGCAGACGCTTAACTGACTGAGCCACCCAGGCGCCCTGAATCCTACTTTCCAAGTGAGCTAGAATACTTTTTTTTTTTTTTACATCTCAAAGTAGTTTTGAAATAAATTCACTTAAGGGTTGATAACTGCCTGGCTATGTTGAGGCTATTCCTAGAAAAATTATAGTTTTAATGAATTAAGGAAATCAGAAGTGAGTAGCTCCTGCCCTCTCCCTTATCATGCATTTCTATGTTTACCCCCATCTTTTTTGAACATGCAGTGTCAGGAATTTGACAGGTAGTAATTTAATTCTCTTTTGCTATTTTTACATTTACTGGTCTGCTGTTAATTTATCGGTAATGGCTTTGCTCAACCAAACATTCCTTTCTAGAGGAGACTCAAGTAGCTAATAACCTGAAAATTCAGTGGATGTCTTGCCATCTAGAAAACCTTCCAAGTAGATAGATTAGGTTGACAGATGTATTTTTAAATTTTAAAATACTCAATATCTTTCTGTTAAGTGTAGGAAAAAACCTCAGGTTATAGATTTAATAAAATATAATATGGTCCTTACATATTTTTCAGGTTAATTTTTTGTACTATGAGAATCTTTCCTATAAATGTATTACATAATTATGTAGTATTACTTAACTCATGAGAGTAGAGAGAGGCTTTATTCTTGAATCCATCTTGTCACCATTTCTTAGTTTAGACTCTAGTTCTGATATGGACATTTGCCTAATAACAACCTAACTGCCTTTTTTTTTTTTTTTTTCCCCTTGGCTCTAGTTGCTCCACTGTCCAATTGTCATACACACTGCTGCCAAATTAATCTTCTTTAGAGGTAGTTAGGTTCTTCTTTCTCAGAAAGCTTCAATGATTCTGCTCTCCCTCCCAAATGAAGTAATTATTCTATCAATCAGGGCCTTTCATTTTAATTCAGTAAACATAATTGAACACATGCTATGTGTCAGGCATTGAGCTTGATGCTTTCTGTGATGTGGACCTAACCCATCTTCTTATGTGTTTTGTTTATCCTGGTCTCTCTAATTGAAATACTCTCTTCTTCCCATCCCTCCAGTTTCTGCAGGAGCGCCTACTCATTATTTCAGGGCCATTTCTCAGTGTCAGATTTCTAAAGAAATCACCCCTAAAGCTCTTCTTATTATTTTTTAAAATGTGTAGTCTCCTTGATGCTTTCTTTATTGGTCATTGTTCTACAGTACTTTCTACTTCATGTTATGGTTATATTTATCTACTATCTCTCCTACCCAACTGTAAGTCCTTTGATCATAGTCTGATTACTCTTTACATCTCTCATAGCACCTCCTCTTTTTCCTGGTGTGTTGTGTACTCAGTATATACTCAAGTAATTAGATATGTATCTTACAGATGGCTAACCTTTAATAACGGGCCTTTTTCTTTTTTAGTGCATTTGCACAGTATAACTTGGACCAGTTTACTCCAGTAAAAATTGAAGGTTATGACGATCAGGTATGTTGCATATGAACACGGGATCTGACTTTTCTTTGTTTCATTTATAATAGTTAATATATTCAGCAAGAACTTTGAAGTGGTATGTTTAAAGATACAGTGTTCATTTTAATCATGGCCTCTTATGGGCAAAGTAATTGAAAATTTGGTTTTTTTTTGTTGAGACCAATAATACTACTAGCAGAAAGTCCCTTTTAGAAGTATTCAAATGTAATTCTTTTAAGATTTTAGAAAATAATTGCTTTAAATCTACTTTCTTGTTTTTTATAGGAAAAAAAATCAATCCTATATTAATCCAAAATCTAGAATATATATTAGTAAGATTTATATCATATTTTGGTTGCTCTGGAATTCTACAGTTCTTCATGTGAGTAACTTAGCATTTAGTAATTATTAAATCTTTTCTTTCCAAAGTGAAAGTTAGAATTGCTAAGAAAAGCCACCAAAGGTCACTAATTTTGGTGTTTTTTTGGGGGGTTTTTGGGGTTTTTTGGTGTTTAGAGTTATTAATAATCGAACAGTGCTTATATTCATACTGTGCTTGTGTGAAGCACAACTTAATACAAAACAGTATGAAGAAGGAACTGGTAGGTGGAAGATGAGAGAGTTGTAACAATTAATTCTTAGTGGCTAGTTACCTCAAAGCTTGCATTTGGCATTATTCATTATGTAATACGTAGTCTTGTATTTACAGGGGGAAAAGAGAGCCTAGACAGAAGATGACTTGTAACTGCAGAGAAAACAAGCTTATATATATATGTATATATATAGAGAGACATGCGTGTGTGTATGTATACACACATATATATGAAGCTATATAGTGTTTCATTTTATGAATCTCCTATATTTATTTTCTTGGGAGATTTTTTGGGTGTTTTTTTTTTGGGGGGGGGTCTTTCTTTTTCTTTAACTGTAAACAAAGCTGTATTGTAAATCTTTGTACCTCTGGGCACATTGACCATTATTTTCTTAAAATACATCCCTAAAAGAATATTTGTCAGCTCCCAAACTCATTTATGAACCTAGCATAATATTAATACTTAAACCTAATAAAGATAAAACAAAAAATCAAACTAATCTCACATATGACTATAGATTTAAAAACTTTATTTTTTTTTAAACTTTAGATAGATATTAACAAATAGCATCCTGGAATATATCCAAAGAATGACAAATCAAGACTAAATAGAATCTATTACAAGAATGCATGAGTGATTTCATGTAAGGCAATATACTGGTCTTATCTATTAATCAGCAAATCAAAGAAAAACTTTATGATGCATCAATAGACAGTGAAAGGGAATTGAAAAATCCAGCAGCTAGTCCTTATTACAAAAACCCTGAGTAATCTAGGGATAGAAGAAGACCTCTTAAGTATAGTAGATTGTTTAACAAAAATCACAGTAAATATCATAGACTACAAACGCTAAAATAATTGTAGTTAAAATAGAAATTTGCCAGGTTTGTCTGCTTATTACTATCTAACCTAATGGAGGTATAGCAAATAAGACAAGAGAATGAGAACTGTTAAAGCTTTATAAAAGTAAATAAAACTCTTAGGTTACATGATTTATATAATCAACTTCCCAAATAAAAGAAACTACTAGACTTAAAACAATTTTGTGAGATGGCTGAATTTAAGGTAAGTATACAAAACTCATTAGCTGTCCTCTATTGCACCAAATAAGTACTTTATACTAGAAATGGTTGGAGGGGGAGGAATTCCATTTTATTTGGTAAAACTATGCGTTAACCTAGGAATAACCTTAACAAGAAAGGCAAAGGATTGTGAAGACAATGGTGGTTGTCTTCTTAAAACACAAAACAGGATATGAACAATGGAAAGGCAACGCCACATTCCATTTTGAAAATAGAAAGTTAAATTATTTAAAAACTAAAATACAAATTTATTGCAATTTGATTTGAATCCTAATAGTTTTCTTAATTGGTCAAATGTTCATGAAGTTTATGCAAAAAAATACATGCTTGGGGAAAAAAAAATGTAAGAACAGTAAGAATGAGTAAAAGAGAATTCCTTTACTGGTTAGCAGAAGAGGCTTTACAACCAGTGTAAAGTCAAATCAGGATGGTTTTGTATAAAGTAGACAGAGATCAGTACAGCAGCATATAGAACCAGAATTCAGTCCCAAGATGTATGAAAATTTTTATGCGTGACAAGATTATAATTTAGATAGACATAATAAAAGATTGGCACAACTGGTTTCTGTTAAGAAGATTAATTTGAACCTCTGTCTCATACAACATAGAAATAAATTTCAGGTGGATTAAAAATGTGTAAATTTTAAAAGAGTCTATATGTACAATACTAGGGCAGGGAGACCGTCTTAAACAAGTCTGGAAACCCAGAAACTATAGAAGAAAAGATGGACATTTTGCTACATAATTATTATTTTAACCATAAGATGAAACATACCTTACGCAAAGGACTCTTATAAATTAATAAGAAAATAACAACAAAAAAACACAAATGAAAAATATTAAAGAATATTTGCTCACAGAAAAACAAATGGCCCACACACAAAAAGATACTTAAATCTGTCAGTAGTCAGAAATGTAATTAAAGTAATGAGATATTTTATACACATCAGACTGAAAAAAGAATCGTATCCCTGTTGATGGGTGTAATGTGAGAGGAATATATCTTATATACTGTTCATAAAAATGTGGATTGTCACAGCCATTTTTTTGGAAATGTATTAAAAATTAAAAACATACAGATCCTTTACCTCCTGTCCCCACTGCTGGGAATATATTTAAGAGAAATGGAAGCATCTAATGGAAATAAAAACATTAGCATGTTAAAATATATGTACAAAAGTACTTATTTTAACATTTTTAATGTACTCATTCCTCCCCTCAAAAAGAAAACAGCCTGGAAATAAAAGAGATGGTCCGTCAATAGAGGAATGGCAGAATAAATTAGGTTATATCCACATTATGGGATATTACACAGCCATTAAAAAGAACGGTGAGAGGTTTACCAGTTGACTTTGAAGGATTTCTGTAAGGTGTTGATATTGAAAAAAGCCAGATGCAGAAAAATATGTGTACGTGTGCATTTTCATTCCATTCTGGTAAAGCAGTGACCAAAAAAAATCTGTATGTGTGTATATGTATACATAGATGTGTTTTTATTTATCTATGTGGGATTGTATGGCTGAAAAAATTGAGAAGGATATATCCTGTGTGTACATGATTTATATCAGAGAGTGGGGGAGGTTCTGACATAGGTAAGGAGTCAAAGACTGGGAGAGTTGCAAGGGAAGAACAAGAGGGGAAATTTTGAAATAAAGCACAGAATGCCAAATTTATGCATGTACAACTTAAATGTATATAAAAGAATAAATTACATGTTTAAAAATTTGAAAGTCAGTTGAAAACAACTGTCAGTGAATAGATTATAAAAACAAGCAGACCCTTCACAGTAGATGAGATTGTGGGCCCAGGAACAATATAGGACACTGAAGAGTATTCTCTCTGGGTTAAAGCTATTCTTGTAAAAGCTATTCTTGTAACCATTCTCATTGAAGGTTATTACCAGTTCCTTAGTTTCGAGAACTGGAAACTGATAATGGAAATAGTAAACTGTTGGGCGCCTGGGTGGCTCAGTTGGTTAAGCCACTGCCTTCGGCTCAGGTCATGATCCTGGAGTCCCTGGATCGAGTCCCACATCGGGCTCCCTGCTTGGCAGGGAGTCTGCTTCTCCCTCTGACCCTCCTCCCTCTCACGCTCTCTGTCTCTCATTCTCTCTGTCTCAAATAAATAAATAAAATCTTTAAAAAAAAAAAAAAAAGAAATAGTAAACTGTTTATAGCTGTAAAAAAACAAAAACAAAAACTCCAGCAATATATTAGAAGATGCATTCTTTTCACCAGGTAGCCAGAAGTTATATTGGGAGAAAATCAGATCCACTAATCTTAGCTGAACGAGAATAGCCTCATTTGAATTATTATAGTTGTGCCAAATAGTTAAACCAATTGCTTGAAGTAGAATTATTTTACAGTGTTAAGGACAAAACTTAAGTGAATGTATATTAATATATATCAGTACTTAAATGCTATTTTAAATACTTTTTTTTTTTTCCAAAATTCATTGCACCATTGAAGGTATTGATAACAGAACATGGCGACTTGGGAAATGGAAAGTTTTTGGATCCCAAAAACAGAATCTGTTTCAAATTTGATCACTTAAGAAAGGAAGCAACTGATCCAAGACCATATGAAGCAGAAAATGCAGTCGAATCATGGAGAACTTCAGTAGAAACTGCTCTCCGAGCTTATGTAAAAGAACATTATCCAAATGGGGTCTGCACTGTAAGTAATCAATATGCATATTTTTCTTTTGTCGTATGTAAATATGACAATGTTTTTATGATCTCCTGAAATCTGTAACTTACAGAACTGGCATTTTATAACTTGCCATTGTTTTTTTTCTTAAATATTTCTAAGAATGTTTTTTCGATGGGGTGCCTGGGTGGCTCAGTCGTTAAGTGTCTGCCTTCCCCTCAGGTCATGATCCCAGGGTCCTGGGATCGAGCCCCGCATCGGGCTCCCTGCTCGGCGGAGAGCCTGCTTCTCCCTCTACCACTCCCCCCGCTTGTGTTCCCTCTCTCGCTGTGTCTCTCTCTGTCAAATAAAATCTTTAAAAAAAAAAAAAGAATGTTCAAGAAACTCTAAATAATAAATATTATGATTGCCCAAAATGGAAAAATGGTTGTACCTTGAATTAAATCCAAGTAGGAATTGTCCATACATTGATTAGAGCATGATGCTATAGGATTCTTTAATCTCATGTTAATAACTCATCTCAGTAAGTTTAGATGAAACTTCTTTCAAGATCTTAGAACAAATTAAATTATTTGGAAGTGGAATCATGTCCTTCCTGTTTTATAATCAAGTCTCTTTTTTAATGTGGTTCTTTCATAGTTTTAACCTGTTTTTTATATTTTCAGTATGAAATGGTAGAAATTAGAGGAGTCCTTTTTTCTTTTTCTTTTTCTTTTTTTTTTTTCGTAAGATTGTTTATACCCAGGTAGGCTTTTCAGGTGCCCCCCCCCACCCCGCCCCCAGTTTGTTTGTGTTTCTATGATCTTCTCCTTAGCCAGGGAGATCTTTTGAAATACAGATCAGATCATGAAAATCCCATGCTGGAAATCATTCAGAGATTTTCTATTATACTTAGAATAGAGTCCAGGCTTCTGAACATGGCTTTCACAACCTTCTGGACCTGGCCTCTACCTACCTCTGGAACCTAAGGTTACCATATATCCTGTTTTATACTTGCTGTCCCAACATAATTATTAATATTACCAGTAGCATCCCATTTCACTCTCAGAAGTTTTCTGGTTAGGACAAAAATTCATATGATCCCCTTAAGTATGTAATTACTTCAGGAAAAATTACAGCATAACCTAAAATACTTTACAAATTCCTTGAATTATAACCTTGTTGATTAGGATTATTTTGGAAGAATAACTCAAGAATAGATAGTTAGGTTATGTTAGAGAGTCCTTATTTGCTCCTGGAGGATTGAAAGGTACAAATTATCCATGACTTTTAAAGCAATAAACAAGAGGTGAAATAACATCATCACACCATCACAGGCATTCTCTTAATGACCTTTCTTGGTTGAAAGTAAGTTAATTTTCTCACCTCTGTACTAATACTTTGTAAAATGAAGAAATGAGAATCTCTAAGATTGTGCAGGAAACAAAGATGATAATCACAGCGTAGGTCCAGTTTTTATTTGTGTGGAAACAGCCAGATTGGTATCTACATGTTTAAAATTGTCTACACTTCTTGTGATACCTGTATTTGGAATGAATAGTATGGTATATCTAGGATGTTTGTGAATATTTTTAGAGTATAATAATGAGTTTTACTTTATAAATTTTGTGCTTTTTTGTGATTCACTAAGAATTTGTGATTATAGGTGGACATGTTTGAGTACTTGTTTTTCTTTCTTTTTTTTTAAGATTATTTATTTATTTATTAGAGAGTGAGCAGGAGAGAAACAGCATGAGAGGGGAGAGGGTCAGAGGGAGAAGCAGGCTCCCCGCTGAGCCGGGAGCCCGATGTGGGACTCGATCCCAGGACCCTGGGATCATGACCTGAGCTGAAGGCAGTCGCTTAACCAATTGAGCCACCCAGGCGCCCTGAGTACTTGTTTTTCTAGCTACTATATTAGAATGATGACCTACTCTCTTTTCTTTTATATGTTCCTACCAAAGTGCTATACATTTTTTTTTTTTTGGTACAGGTGTTTAAAGCTGACTATTCTGTGGCCCTGAACTCACTCTTCTCTTTATTTTCTTTGCCATTAAGGTATATGGTAAAAAAATAGATGGACAGCAAACCATTATTGCATGCATAGAAAGCCATCAGTTCCAAGCAAAAAACTTTTGGTAAGTTAAAATTTTGTATTTTGGGGAATGTTGACATTTACATCCTTTGTAGTCCTTGCTTTATTGGTTGGACCTGTACCTGTTTGTGTATAACTTAAGTGCAGCCTAAACATAAAACTTCAGCCTTTTGATATAAGAAAGGTATTTGCTCCATAATCAGCATAATTATTTAAAGGTAGTGGTAAATCCATTGACACTCAGTGAATAAGAGCGTGGGATTGTATCGAGTGTTTTTAGAGACTTGGAAGCAGCATCCTAAGGGAACATTTGTGCCTGCGAGCAGACCAGTTGGCAGGCCCTTATGCTCATTCTGAGAAGGGATTGTTCCTGAATGAGACTTAATATGGGAGAGGAGGACAGAGGTAATTATAAAGGGAAAGAACAATGATTTTTCTGGTGAACTTTGGGGGCTCTGAAATAGGTGTTTTCATGTGGATTGCTCTGTGCTTGGTTGGCCAATGTAAGGAAGTAATGACATATTTTATACAGTGAGGCAGATTACAGTCATAATTTCATTTTAATTAAATTATAATTTTGTAATCAAATTCATTGATTATTCCTTATAAAAGTCCAGTCCCCTAAAGCACTAACTTTCCCTATTAATCTTGGCCCTTTGACAAGTTGTTGAGTCTTTGTATTTTTAGACAAGACTATTTCTGAGACATCTCCTTTATAAAATTCTGAGGCTTGTACAAGACTTTATAAATTCAGAATTGAATGAAATCTTTACCTTTACCCTCTTTTTTGTTAATACATGCTAAGATCATCAGAGTAAGTATAGTCATAATATTTGACTTGTTTAGCCAAGTTGGTTGGTTGTGCTCTGGAGGGTAAAGTAAGAGGTATCAGTAACCCCTGTGGACTAATTTGGTTCATGGCCCAAGATTGCTCCACTCTTTAACCATCTTAGAAATAAATGCAAGGTTACAAGGTTAACCAAGAACATTTGGAGAAATGCAGATCCATTATCACTGAAGGAAAATCAATTCCATATGTAAACATACGCCTTAATGACAAGCTGCAGTTCCCTAAAGATTCTGGTATATAAAGTTACTTTTATGGACTTAATAAAAGTGTAGTTTCTCCATATTAGGCATAAAAACTTGTAGCTGTAACCTACCAATATCCTAAAGAAAGAAATCTATTAATTTATGTAATTTGTGCCAAGATATGTATCATAAAATCAGTCTTGTTGAGACTGTATTAAAGGAAAATTCATGTTACTAAGTTTTACTTTAATATATATTGGAGCTGTTATAGTGAATTTACTAATTAGTTTCAAAAATAGAATTTATTTGAGCTTTAGCCTGTGTAAAATGAAGATGTTTGGTTTTGAGTTCTCTGTTCTCACTAATTTGCTTCACATATCTGAATTTTTCTCCTAAACTACCACAATGAACATTATATCGTGGAAGTTAAAAGTGACTTCCCCTTTTTAGAAAAGATAAATTCTAAATGACAAAGTGCTAGACATAACATACTACAATAATCTCAGTAAAATCTAAATATTTTGCTACAAAGAAATAGACTTCAGTTCACCTAAAAATACAGATAGAATAAAAATCAAAAGATATTAGCCATGGATGTTTAATAGATTTCACTAGGACATTCTCTTCTTGGTCTCTACTCTTTCCCTAGTGTCTAGCCGTATTGGAGGCTTAATAATGTTTGTTGAATAAACACATATTTGTAATTACAATGTTAATAGAAGAGAAGGGAAGAATATAAATAAAGGCTAGGACATCTTGACTGTGTACTCCATTGATAAAAGAGCATGACTCAGCATCATTTACCGTAACTATGTAGTAATAATGCCTTTGGAAGGATTTTTTGGAATAGTTCTTAAATTGGTACCAGTACTAGATTTGAAATTCCTTTTTTCTTTTTGTAATCAGTGTTTATATATATATATGACAATATATGCATATTGTCATAATAAATCAGAAATGTGTATGCTTAGAACTTACTAGCGCTCAATACTAATACCTAAATAAAAGGAATAACTTCTTTCGGAATCATGAAATAAAAATAAATAGATCTAGGTTCTTTGTCCAACTCAGTGAGCTACTTATGGATAATTTTGAATGTCACTCAAAATCAAGGCATGGTATAAAATTCTCTTTTATTCTGTAGATCATTGTTCTAATGGTAGTACTTTTCAAATGTTAAGTGTTAACTTTAGATATGAGTACTCTCATTCTCTAGATTTTCATGGTTGGATAGATTGCAAGAATATTACAAGAAACCCAGAAGTAATTTTATAGCAAAGCCAGTATAGTGATCCGATAACTGTGAATTTTTCAGAATCATATGCTATTGTTCAAAAAAACCTAACAGGTATAAACTTGCCTTTCAGAATGTGTTTAGCATACAAAGAGCCAACAGAGGTAGAAGGAAAGTTGCCATGAAAAGGCCAAAAAAAGGATAAAATTCATTATCTGGGAGACAGAAATGAGTAACAACATACTGGTTGCTTGTTCACAATTTCTTACCATTAATATGTGTTAATTTGTAATTTTGAGAAGTGAGAGGAGGCGGTACCTTTTATGTGGAAATTTAATCCTAAAACTGGAAAAGAAAAATATTCTGACACTTATAACTCCTTATATAAAGCCTTTCTCTTTCCAGATATCAAAACCTTTAAAATACTGTATTACTACCCATTCTTTTTAAAGTTATTTGGTACTTTGTATTATTCAGTGGATGTCAGACTGCATTGATGGTATTTGTGAAAGCCCTTGGTAATCTGAACATTTGTTCAGTTTATTCTTTTTTTTAATTGAAGTATACTGAACACACAATGTTACATTAGTTTCAGGTGTATTATATAATGATTTGATAAGTTTGTAGTTACGCTGTGCTCATCACAAGTATAGCTGCCATCTGTCACCATACAATGTTATTACAGTACTTTTAACTATATTCCCTATTTTTATCCTTTTATCACCTTATTAATTCCATAACTGGAATCCTGTATCTCCCATTCCCCTTCACCTATTTATTCAATTTATTCTTAATTAAAACATAAGTAGTCAGTTGTGAAGAAGTAGCTTAAAATTTTTTTCCAGAAGTGGCTTACATAATTTAGTTTTGAACTGTATTTTAAGCCTTAGCTTTAGAATTCTTTAGTTGCATCCATTGGATGATAGGTCCTTTCTTATTAATAGGATGAAGATTAAATGTAGTTCATAACTGAACTTAACCCTTTGATTCTTTTAAATATTTCAGTGATTAGGGGCACCTGGGTGGCCCAGTCGTTGAGTGTCTGCCTTTGGCTCAGGTCATGATCCCAGGGTCCTGGGATCTAGCCCCTCATCAGGCTCCCTGCTCGCTGGGAATCCTGCTTCTCCCTCTCCCACTCCCCCTTCTTGTGTTCCCTCTCTCACTGTGTCTCTCTCTGTCAAATAAGTAAAATCTTTAAATACATACATACATAAATATTTCAGTGATTAAAAAATGAGTATCCAGCATCCATCCCCCACACTTTCATACAGTAGCATTGACTTTAAATCTGGAACTTAAAATTTATTCAAATTATTTTCCCTACCTTATTTACAGCTGCTGTTTTTATTTTTAAGGAATGGTCGTTGGAGGTCAGAGTGGAAGTTTACAATCACCCCTTCAACCACTCAGGTGGTTGGCATCTTGAAAATTCAGGTATGAAACAAAAAGAATTTATTTACTGATCTCTAGGTGATTATGAACAGAGAAACAACTAATTCATAAATTTACTTTTTCTCAGTACACAATAACCCTTTCTTTTCTAGATCTTTGTTTTGAGGTATTGGGAAAAACAAGTAGTGTTGATTTCATCTTTCGTCTTTCAAATAACCTTGCACTTCATTCCCTAGTCATCAAAAATATGCAAGGATAGCTTACAGATTCTAAAAACATAGCTAAAATTAGATGCTACCATTTGGTCTGCTCTTTAAACAATTTGTTCATCCAAGCATCCTCTGAGTTTGAGTTGTGCTGTTCTGTCTCCTGAATTGGGTGGAATTGGGTGAGGTATAATATTAATATATGTATGTGTATATAGATGTATAAATATATATTTATTATGTGTGTATTTTAATATATGTAGATATGACATTTATCCTTTAAGTATCTTCTGTACTCACATTTGGTTTCTTATAAGAAACCCACCATAATTGAATTCTTTGACTCATTTAATGTAAACTCATTTGTTTATATAGAACATTTGATAAATAAGACCAAGTATTTGAATATAAACATTACTAAACAAGTTAAAGACTAACCAGTATTCTTCTGTCTTGGTTTACTTATTTATTCAGTTTATTTCATTAACTATCATGAAAGATATTTTGCTAAAAGCCATAAAGGAATAAAGATGAATCAGATACAGCTGCTCTATCATTTGACTCCACTATACATTCCTGGTCTTTATCCTATTGCTTTTATGTCTTGTTGTGACTGTCCATTAGGGGCTAGAGAATAGAGGCTAAGAGTGTGGGTTTTGAAAGCAGGCTGTCTGAATTTGAATCCAGCTCTTTATTTGTATGACAATAGGAAGTCATTTAATACTAGCTATTTTTGCTTGTTTCCTCATGAATCTGAAAAAGAAAATAGCAATACAAAGCTCATATGAATGTTTGAAGATTAGTTGATATGGGCAAAATGGTTAGAACAGAGCCAGACATGAAGTGCTTGATGAATGATGACCATTACTGTTGACATTATTCTTTCCTTCAGTTGGGCCTTAGTAGCTTTCACCTGGATAATTTCTAAAATGGTGCCTCTGTTGAGCCAAAGCTTGTTGAGAGCTGGGATTGTCTGTTGTCTGTTGAGAGCTAGGATTATCTGACAGTTCTGTCTTCATCACTTAGCGTGATGCCTAGCATATAATTGTTATTTAATATGTTGACTTTCTGGACCCTTTGCCATCCCATAATCTATTTTTCACATTGCCTTCATCACAAAGATGACTTTTAAAAATTTAAATCTGGATATGTTACTTTCTTACTTAAGACCACTCTCACTTACTAGATAGTCCAGACATATTTACATGGTACACAAGGCCCAAAGTTGACTTGTCTTTACCTGTTTCTCCAGCCACTCTTCCCTCCCCAGTCTCATACACATTTCAGCCATAAGTACCTCCAAGCCTTTCTACAGTATGCTGTTCTCTAAGCTCAGTTGCCTTATCTTCCCTGGTTTAATTGTTGGCATACTTACATTGCTAAACCCAAGTATTGTTGCCTCTTTTCCGAAATCCTTTTTTAATTCTCAGAGAGTCTCAAGACTCTCAGTGTCTCGACACTCTCTGTGTGCTTTGTACATATCTCTTACTGTGTTGTATTGAAAAATAAGGCCAGGGACTCTTTTTTTAAAAGCTGTGCATCCCTAGAACTTTGTGGTAGCAGGCATGTAATCACTCAGCTAATGTTTATTGAATAAATTCATGTCTGAATTTGAGAAATTAAATGGTTGGTGGAAATGCACAAAAGAGGAATGATATTTGGGAGGGAATATGGTGAGCTCAGTTTTGGAAATCTTGAGTTTAGATATCAGTAGAATATCTGTTACGTAGAAATGTCCAGAATCAGGTCAGTGGAGGGCTTGCCTGAGTAATTACAGGAACTGCAAATTAGTCTCCTCACTATGCTGGAGTTTGAAAGGTCAGGAGCTCAGCAGAGAAGTCTAGGTTTAGAGCTAAAATTGGTAGTCATTTGCACTGATGCAATTGTTAAAGCCGTGAAGATCTTGATGATTCCTATAATGTGTGGTTTCTGTAATTTCTTTTTCTAATAGGTTCATTATTATGAAGATGGTAATGTTCAGTTAGTGAGTCATAAAGATATACAAGATTCCCTAACAGTGTCTGTAAGTAATTAATTTCAAAAATTTCAACAACCTAATACTTCTGTAAAGCTAGAACAGTTTTGGAACTAACATTTTAAGTAATATTTGTGCTTCAGATTAAAGTGTTTTGAAATAGGTTAAAGATGGTAAGTTAACTGGAAGTCTGTACGTAACTTTTTAGCAGCTTTATTGGTATAATTCACATACTGTTCAGTTCACCCATTTAAAGTATCAAATTCCATGTTTTTCAGTATATTCACAAGACTGTACAATCACCACAATCTAATTTTGAATGTTTTTGTCTTCCAGAAACCCTGTACCCATTAGCAGTCACTCCCCATCTGTCTCCCCCACCAGTCCTTCCCCAAAACCCTCCTCAGCCCTAGGCAACCATGAATTTACCTTATAACTCTATGGATTTGCTTATTCTGGACATTTCATATTAATGGAATCCTATAATACGTGGTCTTTTGAGACTTTTTCACTTAGCATAATGTTTTCAATGTTTCTAGTACTTCACTCCTTTTTATTCTGAAATAATACTCCATATACCACATTGCATTTATCCATTTATCAGTTGGATTCGTGTTGTTTTTTTACTTTTTGCTGCTGTGAACTGTTGTGTACTATTTTTTTTTTTTAAGATTTTATTTATTTATTTGACAGAGAGAGGCACAGCGAGAAAGGGAACACAAGCAGGGGGAGTGGGAGAGGGAGAAGCCGGCTTCCTGCTGAGCAGGGAGCCCGATGCGGGGCTCAATCCCAGGACCCTGGGCTCATGACCTGAGCCAAAGGCAGATGCTTAATGACTGAGCCACCCAGGCGCCCCTTGTGTACTATTTTTTGTGTAGACATTTGTTCTCATTTTTCTGTTTCAATTTTTCTTTGGTGACAGTGGAATTGCTGAGTTGTATATAGTTCTGTATTTAACCTTTTGAAGAACTTCTGCCAGACTGTTTTCAAAGAGGCTGCACCATTTTACATTTCCATCAATTGTCTATGAGGGCTCCAATTTTTCCATGTCTTCATCAAAACTTATGGCTGTCTTTTTTATTATAGCCATCTTGCTTGGTATAAAGAGGTATCGTATTGTGGTTTTTATTTACATTTTCCTGGTGGATAATGATGTCGAACATCTTTTCATGTATTATTGGTTATTTGTAGATCTTCTTCCAAAAAATGTCTATTCAGATCCTTTGTCTATTTCTTAATTGGTTATTTGTGTTTTTATTGTTGAGTTGTAATTGTTGCTTATATATTTTGACTACAAGTCCTGTATCGGATATAGGATTTGCAAATACTTTCTCCCATTCTATGTGTTGTTTCACTTTCTTGATTGTATCATTTGCAGAACAAGAAATTTTAGTTTGGATGTAGTCCAGTTTATTTTTTTTGTTGTTGTTACTTTTGCTTTTGGTATATTAATAGAAACCATTGCCTAACCCAAGGTCATGAAGATTTACTCCATGGTTTTTTTCTAAGAATTTTATAGTTTTAGCTCTTAAATTTAGGTCTATGATTCTGTACTCAACTTTTAAGCTCTATTGTATTTTCCCCCTTAATCTGGATTATGATTTAATGAAGTTTTTCTGAAGTTCAGCTTTCAAATTCAAGAAACTTTGAACTTGGTTTTATTTCCCCACATAGTTCTCTCACACATTTCTTTCCAGTACATGTGCAGCTATTTCTTTGTGGGATTTTTTTTTTTTTTGCCCCAGTGATATTAATAATAAAACATTAATAGTCACATTTTATATTTCTCCATAAACATTTGTGTTGTATACCTAAAAGTGCCAATATATTATAAACATCAACTGCTAATATACAAAATTAGCTAACCTACAAATAAAGAAGAGTTAATTTTTAATTTAAGGAAGGATTGATTTAACATTAAGAAACGTGTGAATGTACAAGGCCAGATGCTACCTAGGAAGAGAAGAGAGCTGGTATTTAAGAAAATGTTTCACTAGCACATAGGTGATTTGTGCCTTTGTGCTAAATAGTACTCTACTTGCAAAATTTGCCAGTAAAAGAAACTAATGTCTGGTTTTCCATGAGACACTGTATTTGGTATTGTTCTATATCATGTGCATACATGTAACATTATTTGCATAACTTATCTTTTTTAGTTTGACACTGAGCAAAGATTCTTTCTAAAAGACAGTTGTCTACAAAATTACAGACTGTGGAGTTGTTGAGAGGTGGTCATAGTAATTAAACTTGACCAATATACCTTTTGTGCTGCTTTTTAGAAATGAATTTTTTACTTTATTTTACAGGGTTTTCTCTTTTTTAACTGTTTTTGGACAGAAAAAAATGCACATGTTATAGAAATATAAATATGTGTAAATATATAAAACATATAAAGTAAGATACTAGAGAATTTTACATTAACACTGTTTTATGAAAAAGTCTAAATTTCTGGTAACTTTTTTACTGTTAGGAAAAAAGCAAAGAAACCCATATATTGGAATGTTAAAATTTTTCCAGAAAATATTTAAACACTACAGTAAATTCACCTTAAACTGTAAAATAAGCTTTTCCGGGGCGCCTGGGTGAGTTAGTCGTTAAGCGTTTGCCTTTGGCTCAGGTCAGAATCCCAGGGTCCTGGGATCGAGCCCCGCATCGGGCTCGCTGCTTGGCAGGAAGCCTGCTTCTCCCTCTCCCGCTCCCCCTGCTCCCCATCCTCTCTCGCTATATCTCTCTCTGTCAAATAAATAAAATCTTAAATAATAAAATAAGCTTTTCCTAATGTTTTTAAAATGTATTATTATGGTGGTAAATACTGTTGAGTACATATTTAATAATACTTAGATACAGTCATTAATTAGAAATTTATGACTAATTTCTTACCTGTAAGCAGATTGTCGAATTCATGTTAAGTGTTACTATTGAGTTTTTCATTAATATGTATTATTAAGATTTCGCTTTCCTTAAACAGTGAAACCAGGCTCATTCTGTAGACTTTTAAAATATTTTTGCGTAGTTCCCCTTGGACTTAGAGTAACTGATCTTACAGTATTTTCACTTTGTCATAATTTCTATTTGTGTTATTTATTAAACTAGTAAAGCATTGTCTATACATATATTGACACACCTATTTAAAAATAATAGTGGTGTACACAAAAGTAGACTCAGAATGTATTAAAGACCTAAATGTGAAGCCTGAAACCATAAAAATCCTAGAAGAGAACACAGTAATTTTTTTGACCTTGGCATTAGGAACATTTTTGAAAGTATGTCTCCTAAGGCAAAAATAAACTATTGGGACTACATCAGATAAAAAGCTTTTGTACTTCAGTGAAGGAAACGATCAACAAAACAAAAAGGCAGCCTACTGAATGGCAGAAGATATTTGCAAATGATATATTTGATTAGGAGTTAATATCCAAAATATATAAAGAACTTAGAACTGAACCACCTACTGGGTGGTTCAGTTAAGCCTCTGCCTTCAGTTCAGGTCATGATCCCAGGATCCTGGGATCGAGTCCCAAATCGGGCTCCTTGCCCAATGGGGACCCTGCTTCTCTCTCTCCCTCTGTCTGCCGCTCCCCCTACTTGTGCTCCCTCTCTCTGTCAAATAAATAAATAAAATCTTAAAAAAACAAAACAAAACTTAGAGAACTCAACACCCAAAAAATAAACAATCCGATTAAAAAATGGGCCAAGGACCTGAATTAGACATTTTTTTTTTTTTTTTTTTAAGATTTTCTTTATTTGAGAGAGAGAGTGAGAGAGAGAGCACAAGATGGGGGAGCGGGAGAGGGAGAAGCAGACTCCCTGCTGAGCAGGGAGCCCGATGCGGGACTCGATCCCGGGACTCTAGGATCGTGACCTGAGCCGAAGGCAGTCGCTTAACCAACTGAGCCACCCAGGCGCCCAGACATCTTTTTTAAGGAAGACATACAATAGCCAACAGACACATGAAGAGATGCTCAACATCACTAATCATCAGGGAAATGCAAATCAGTACCACAATGATAAATCACCTTTCACCCGTCAGGACGGCTAAAATCAAAAAGACAAGAAATAATTAGTGTTGGCAAGGATGTGGAGGAAAAGGAACCCTCATGCAGTGTTCGTAGGAATGCAAACTAGTGTAGCCACTGTGGAAGACGGTATGGAAGTTCCTCAAAAAAATAAAAATAGAAATACCATATGATTGAATAATTCCACTGCTGGATGTTTACCCAAAGAGAATGAAAACACTGATTGGAAAAGATATAGGAATGTTTATTGCAATATTATTTACAATAAACAAGATATGGAAGCAACCTAAGTATCCACCAATAGACGAATGGATAAGGAAGGTGGGGGGGTGTACATACACACAATTGTGTATATACAGTTATACACACACAGTGGAATATTACACAGCCATAAAAAGATGAGATTGTGCTATGTGCAACAACATTGTTGGACCTAGAGGGTATTACGCCAAGTGAAATAAGTCAGACGGAGAAAGTCAAATACCATATGATTTCGCTCATCTGTGGAATTCAGAAAAAAAAAAAAAAAAACGAAAAAACAAAAAGTAGATATAAAGAACAAACTGATGGTTGCCAGAGGGAGTGGGGGTGGGGGAAGAGGCAAAATGGTGAAGTGAAGTGGGAAATACAGGCTTCTAGTTAAGGAATGAGTTAGGGAATAAAAGGCACAGAATAAGAAATATAATCAATGATACTATAATAGCATTGTGTGTGGTGACAGATGGTAGCTACACTTGGGAGCATAGCATAATGCATAAACTTGTTAAATCAGCATGTTGTACAGCTGAAACTACTGTAACTTTGTGTGTGAATTATACTCAAATTTTAAAAAATGGAAAACTTGAAAGAAATGGTGTAGTTTTAAATTACTATTTACTTTTGGTTTTGTTTTTCATTCAGAATGAGGTGCAAACAGCAAAAGAATTTATAAAGATTGTAGAAGCTGCAGAAAATGAATACCAGGTATGTTTTTAAAAAATACTACATGATTTATATTTGCTTTAAATAATGGCACTGAAATTTTAGTTTGTCATGAGGCTGAATTTTTTTCATTTGTTTCACTATAATAAAACATAGTCCTTTTTGTTTTATTTGTTGTTTTTAAATCAGTGGTAAGATTATGAAAATGTGGCCAAAACTCAGTTTTAGCCAATTATAATTTCTGAGTGTTAGTCACAATATGCCAAGATTTTAAATGGTTATTTTGTTCTTAATTGGAAATTTTAATTTATGAAGTATTTCCTCAAGTATTTAGATTATGTGTAATCAAGTATTTAGATTATGTGTAATCTGAAGTAGATCTTACTTCACTATATATTCTTACTTTTTACATTTTTTATCAGCTTCTAAACTATACTCTTGAACTTACACATTTAATTTGTGGATTAGCCATATTTCTCCTTGCAGACAATAATTTATAAAATTGTTCTGAGTGAAATAGAAAAATAGATCCAAAATGTGAATACACAGATATTAAATCTAATTTGCAGTTTCATTTCATTAAATTTAATTATTCAAATGATTATAGACTTTTTCTTTTAGGGGCGCCTGGCTGGCTAAGTCAGTAGAGCATGTGACTCTTGAACTGACGACTGTGAAATCCAGACCTGAGCCAAGAGCAAGAGTTGGACGCTTAACTGACTGAGCCACCCAGGTGGCCCTCTTTTAGCTGCTTTTAAAGAGTTTTTAAAACCACATTGGGGTTTTTATTTGACTTTTTTTTTTTTTTTTTACTTTTTTAAAAACTGAAATAGGCTGCTTAAATAAAGGTTTTTCTAAAACATCTATGTGTTTTATAAATTGTTCTGTTCCTTTTATTTCTTTAAACTTTTAACTACTATTTTTCATAGACTGCCATCAGTGAGAATTATCAGACAATGTCGGATACTACTTTCAAAGCCTTACGTCGACAGTTGCCAGTTACACGCACGAAGATTGATTGGAACAAGATCCTTAGCTACAAGATTGGCAAAGAGATGCAGAATGCATAAAATGAACATTGCATGACCAGATCATTTTAATGTCTTTGCGTTTTAAAAAAAAAAAAATCATTGCAAAAATATTCAGAACTGTCGAGCTACCCAGTCAGATGGGCTGTTGCCATTTAAAATCACTGTAATTAGTTTGGTTAGAGCACAAAGCTTAGCTAATCAACCATTATTTTTCATTTCTTTTGTTCAAAGGGGATTGAAAATCAGTTTAGTTTAAATGTCTTTTACTTTGTTATACCTTTCTTTCTTAAAATTAAGAGATGATTCCTCTAGTGTAATGTTAAAAGTTTTTGAAATGTTTCAAAAATATTTTACTTACCGTAACCCTAAAATTGTTGTCTTTGGTTTATGAAGTGGGTAATTTTTGATATTTGCCCAGTTCTTTTTAATGGGGTCAATAATGGACATTCTAGTTTAAGGTGGTTGATGGATTTAGCCATATATGCTGCTAAAGAAATTGTCTACCTTTTCCCCCTCACCTCTTCCATTTATGTAAGATTGAGATTAGAGGGAAAGCATTTTCTGTATCAGTTGTGTTTGAATCTTTCAAGACGGTTATTTAGCTAGCTTAGTGTTTAACTAAACTTTTTTAAAACAAGGCCAAGGTTTAATGCTGTTTGGAGATTCTGAAATTAAATGAAAATACTTATTTCAGAAATGCATTTAATGCTTTTTTCTTGTGACAGTTACGCAGATTAGCTTGAACTCCATATGTCCCTGAGTTATTTTTATCATAAAGCCACAAATGTATTATAACAAGGCAAATTGTAATATATATAATCCTGAACTCATGACCATGTCTCAGTTTATTTCTTTTCTTGGATTGAAAAGTACTAAAATTCAATGTGACATTAAAATGAAAATTTTCCTATTTATTTGAGTAGAATATCACTTATCAGTGAGTCATATACTATTTTAAAATACTTTCTTTGGATATTGTGATTCTTAACTGGTTGTAAATTAGAAAAGCTGGGAGTACATATGGTGTGCATTACAGTCTAAATTTTTCCATCTTCCTATGCATCATAAGCATGTTTGTAATATTTTAAAATACACATTTAATGATGCTACAGGAATTTCAAACCTGTGGTGAATGTTAGGATTTACTATAGAGAGTGGGGTGGGTTTATGGTTTCATTCAATCGAGTATTGCTTATTATACTCCAGTGGAATCCCTTCCTCACATACTCTTGCAGATGTCTGGGCCTGGAAGTGTTTTTTTAAAACACCACTTTTATTATGTACAATAAAATATTTCATTAGCTTGAATTGTATAGAATTTAAAAGTTTTCTCAATGAAAGCATGCTATTTAATTTCTTTTTAAAAATCAAAGGTGGGCTTTGAAAACATGGAGAATTTAATAGGAAATTTGATAGTTTGGGTTAAATCGTTTTCTTTAATTTGGTTAAAACATTTTTTCTGATTTTGCCATATTGGGATTTCTGAAGAAAATGAATTAGCAATGTTAATTATTCTTCCCTTCTTTTAAAAGAGATTTTCAAAAGTCTTATGATTCTAAACTAAATACTAGGTGAATCTTTCTTTAATTGGCTAGCTGGTTATATCATTTGGACTGTCATGGGTTTTTATCCCCTAAAGGTCAGTTACTTTGGCTGTTTTAGGGCCTAGAAGGCAATCGTGAAAATACATGCATTTGTCTTTAAGGTGATGACTTGAGGGTGAAGTATGGAGGCAAGGGTAAAATCAGAGAACAGTTAGGAGGCTAGTGCAGTAATCTAGTTGAGAACAAATGCTGGCTTGGTCTGAGGTGGTAGCTATAGGGCTGTAGAGGTAGTGAGTTCTGGATATGTGTTAAAGGTAAAAATCAAAAAGATGCCAAAATGTGGTTGTGGAATATGAGATAGGGAAATGGCAGAGACATTTTGGGGTTGAGAAATTGGGGGAAGGGCTGGTCAGGAGCTCAGTGTTCAATTTCAAGGGAAAATACCAAGTAGCAGTTAGATACTGGAGACAGGAGGTAGAGGGGTCCTCTGGGCTGGAAGAACAGGAGAGTGAATGACAGGGTTTGGTAGCCAGGCAAAATGAAGGCTAACTCAAGGTTATTGATTTAAAGTGAGACCAGCGAGTATGACTCTCTTAAGCATGTGTAGAGCTACATGGGTGCAGGCATAGAGTTAGATGAATTTAACCAAGGTTGTGGTTTTGCCAAGAGAGGCTGACTGACCATGGGAAGAGGGGGCAAGCTTGTAATGACAGCCTGTGGAACTTAAGCTAGGAAAGCGGGGGAAATGAAGCCAGGAGGGGAGCAGAATAGTGAAAATGTGGCACAATCAGTGGATTATAGGTATGGTTAGAGTTGGGGTACTAGAAGGGAATGATCTGGCAGTGTAGGAAATGGTGGTTAGGGTGATGTGTTTAAAACTGAGATTTTGAGGAGGAGTTACACTTACTTGTAATGACATTAGGATCAAGGGAGTGACTGAGGTAGGAGGGGAGGAGTTCAAGCAGCTATGAAGCCTGGGGTCGCCGTGGGGTATTGAAATCAAGAATTACAGTGGAAGTAAGTATTCTGACATGAGTGCTATTTTTCGAGACTACGCCTAGATATACATTTATAACACATTTGTATGAGTTAAGTAAATAATATGGTACAGATATTCATGAGGCTTTTCTTCATTTGGGATTTTGTAAATTAAAATGGGAACAGGAGCATTTTGAAGGTATTCTGGAAGTTCTGGTTCATTAAAAATGTTCTTAAGTGAAAATCTTAGGAAAGTAAAGACAACTATAGGTAATTCCATAGCATTTGGGTGGCCCTTTCTGTCGTTAAAATCATTTTTTACTTAATCACACCAAAAGCTTTGGAATGATGCAAGATCCTTTGAAAAGGTCTTCCATACTGTTAATCATTTTGTGCCTTTGCCAGTTAGTGGGTATAAAATATAAAGGCATAATTTGCCAGCAGTTAACCCAAGTGTTTTGTAATGCATGTGTGTTGTGAAACATCCTGAGAAGAATGTGCATTTCTTTACATTTCCCTAGGATAGATTACTTAAAAGCAGCATCATGATGTACTTGCTATTCCTAAGTTGTAGTATTTTTGTCCTTGAAACTGAAAAATTTTTAAAGGCATGACTTGGTATAATAGGCATCTTCACATTTGATACTCTGAGTATTATGCAAAAGCTTTATTGTAGGATTGGCCAGTGGTGCCAGCTATTGGAGAATATTCAAAATACTCAATTAAAATTAAAATAACCAGTGAAACTTTTAAGGTCTAATTGGTATTAGAAATTAATTTCAGATCATTTAAGATTAATCACACTGTGTTCAGAGAACCATTCTAGGCATTATAGAGTCAGGAAAATAGAAAATTATTTCTTGAAGGAATCTATAAAGTAGTCATGGTCTATAGCAGTGTTCTCTAAACTTTTTTTACATCACAAGCTATATAGAAAGTGATATTTGTAAGGCATTCTGGGAGGAATGGATTAGGCTGCTTGCCAACTGCTCTAAGGCTTGAGGGGACCTTGGTACACCTTGAGCCTATTTATTAGGAAGGTGGGCTACAGGTAACATAAAGAGCATTTACAAGATAAACTTCAATCCTAACTGATCTAAGGTAGCTTTTAAAGAAATGGCCAGCTAAGGAAGTTTTCCTGGAAAGGATGAGTGCAAACTCTACTTTAGCACACTAATATTTTTTGTTAAGTATATACATAACTGGTAGGCAGGAAATCCTCTTGCATCTTAATGAAACATCAGAATACAGCTAATAGGTTTTTTGTATAGTTTCCTGATATGTTGTGGGTCAGATAGCATTATCCAGTTGAAAACTAAATGACACTGTTGTTTTTATACATATCACAGTATAAAATGAAGTCAACAGGGGAAGGGTAAAATTAAAAATGTGTTCTTATAAAACTAGAATATGGCTAATAAGATATTAGAACATTTTATCCCTAGTTTTGGTATAATCTAAGAAAATTGTGGTAGTTTAATGGCAGTTTTAGCATAGTGTTAAAAACTATCAATTTCTTATTCTTGTGTAGTAGGACTGTAACGGAGAGCAAAGATTTTTTTCATGCAAACTGGCTAGAGAATACACATATCACAGTTAACTAAATCAGCCACTCATTCTCACAACGAATCTTCACTACATGAAGTTAAAGCTCTGATTAATAGAAGACCGTTAAGGAAACAAAGTTGGTTGGTATGTCTTGGAGATGATTTATTGGGGAAATTTGTGAAATGCCCAGCTTTTAAACCAAATAAATATTGAAGGAGTAAAAGGATACCCCCAGAAATCATGACTAAACAGTAAAAATCACTGTCTTTCTCTTTGGCTTCAAGTTTTGTGCTGCTAGCTTGCTAATTTAGCAGAATCTGAATGAACACTGATGCAGATCTCTTCCAGATTTTGACTTGAAAATGAGGGCTTGCCTCTTGTTTCCCAAAGGAATGCGAAAGAGAAATACCAGGGAGCCACAGATCTCTTAGGTATAAGTTAGACATGTAGATGAGACTTAACTTCTTCAGAATGCCCAGGAAAATATAGGAGATGCATTGTTCCAAGGTGCTGAAAGTATCTCAAATGTAGAAAAAGCTAAATTTAATTAAAAAATTTTTTTTTGAAAAGGAAAATTCTATTGTGCACTCATTTTCCCCTTATTTGGGGGCTTTACAAAGGAGAAAGGGAAAAAAAAAAGGAAATGGCAGAGACTTGTATTGGGAAAACCTTAGGTCGGTCTAAATAAGCAACAGATTAATACAGATACTGTGGTTTGTTGATACTAGGGTAGCATACAGCTTTTAAAAACTCGAGCTGGAGTTTCATATAGCAGCATAGTATAAATGTTGAGAGAAAAGAGCAAGTTGCCGAAAGGTAAGTATAGTTTTGAGTAAGTTTAAAAACTTCTAAAACTATGTACAGTGTATGTATAAAACAGTACAGAAATCAGGATAGTGTGTGGCGGCGGGGGAAGACAGGAATGGGATGGGCGAACAGTATAGAGGGACTCAATTGTAACTAAGAATTTCTTTTGTAAACTAGATGATAGGTATGTGTGGTATTTTGTAACTTAAATATACAACTTACGCCAATTTGGAACTCTGTATGAGAGGAAATATGTACAAAATTGACCCGGGTGAAGGGTAGTAAAAATGGCAAAGGTCATAACCACAGGATAAATTGAATAGGAAGTTTACTCATACCTCTTTAAGAAGTCATTAGACCCGTATTGTTTTATAGTGAATTTTATCAGACTCTGATATTCAGATCATTTCTGTAACAGACATCATTCTGGATGTTGGAAAGAGATGGAAATACATTTCATGAGCCTGGCATATCTAACATTAAATAAGAAAAGTGCACTCACACAAAAACTATTGATGAAACCTCCCTATAAACTAACATTAATAACCAAAGTATATTACATTATGACCAAATACGATTTAATTTCTTGTTAACAAATCTAGTGATGTAATTCATTACATTAGCATATTAAAGGAAAGAAACCCAGTCCTCTCAGTAAAATATTTCATAAGATGTTATACTTAATACTGATTTTATTTTTTAAAGATTTTATTTGACAGAGACAGAGCGAGAGCAGGAACACAAGCAGGGGGAGTGGGAGAGGGAGAAGCAGGCTTCCTGCCAAGCAGGGAGCCCGATGTGGGACTCTATCCCAGGACCCTGGGATCATGACCTGAGCCGAAGGCAGATGCTTAACGACTGAGCCACCCAGGCACCCTCAATACTGATTTTAAAGACAGCATCTCAGACCAGTGGGGTAAAGATGAATTACTCTGTAAGTGTGCTGGGACAAGAGGGTAGCCAGCTGGAAAAAATAAATTTGGATCCATACCTCATACCTCATACCAAGTTAAACTTGAATCAAAGATATAATGGTA